CTAGGACAGTATAGGAGAATATTGTAAAGACGAGACAATGAACAAGAGAAATCGACAAGGTAAGGATATTTGGAAATTTAAATTATGCTCGAAGGAATTGTAGGAAGGGTGTCGAGGTTAATGTAGAGAAAATCTCCAACAGACAAGTGATCAGGTGGCGATGCGGGGAAGCGCCGATTGGGCGGTAGGAGGGGTGTTGCCAATGGAAGAACACGGGCAGAACACGCGGATGAATGGGATGCAGTTGGGCTTGGTTCACAGGGAAAGAGCCAGTGCTTTTTGGAGCAAGGCATCATGGGCAAGCACGGCAAGGTAGGGGAGGCGGGGGCAGAGTGGACAATATGTAAAAGAATAACGTAGAAAAGGCCCTTTGCCTCCTCCTACCTGCCTCGGTCTGCAAGTCTTGCCCAGCCGTTGTTACGCTGTTTCCACCAAAGACGACCGCATGCATGGAGGAGAGAATGGAAATCGGATGAAGGAATTGAACCGTCATGTGGCCCTCCTTCTCCGGTGGGCACCACATACCGTCCCCGATCTGCCGCCGTGAGCCGAACGGTATGGGCCCGGCCGCTCGGGGAATGGGAGCGACGGAATGGGGTCAATGATTTAAGAAGCCACCCCACACGATGGATCATGTCAGATTTGATGGGCAATTTTGTATGCGAGCTGTCACCTGAAGCTTAAGCTGATTGCAACTGGTGTTTATGAGACCCGTTGAGAAACAATTTCGGCCAACGCATGCCGTTGCAAGAGAGGACAGAAAACGTTCACAAAATGGCGTAGATGGAATCGGAAGGAAATCCTCTTGGTCCTTGATGCATTATTCTGTGATTCTTGTTACTGACCTAGGTAGTAGTTGGAGATGACATTCGCCGAAACCCCCAGATCAGCGCCAATTTACATAATAAAACGACTTAGCCACCTCTGTCGACACCATCTCCGCATCACCCTCTAACCCAATCGAAGCCAGTCAGCAACGGTGCCAGAGTCAGCGGTAAGACCGGCTACAACATTAAATTAGAAATTATCGCCTTGCAGCATTGTGCATCAATCGTACAGATATAAATCAATTGTTCTGCGATACCATCGTCGATGTGCTTCAAGTCAGGACCACAGTACACAACGTGGGCTTGATCAAGACTTTAAAACCCCCGTCTGATTGTCTGCTTCAACCACTGTGACGGCCCGGAGACGATATGCCCACGACTGCTATCCCACCGCATGCGGTCAGGGCACCCCCGATCTGACGGCCTCCGGCCCGAACGGCAGGGAAGAGGGCGGCGGCGGATGTGAGGCTGCACGTCTGCCGACGTCTGCCCCTGGACCCCCGAGGCCCAACTTCGCCGTGATCTATCCCGATGACTTTGTCTTTTACGGATGCTGGACCAACTTGGTTGGCGAGCGCAAGGTAGAGTAGTCGTGAGCAGTAAAATTAAAAACTAACGTTGCGTCGGCAATACACGAAGCGGCTATAAGGGTACCCCCAACGCCCGCGGGCTACGCTCGTCATGAGACCACCCGCGAAAACAATACAGGCACGGTAGCAAGGCAAACAGCGATAGACAAAGAAAACGATGCGTCATGGTGACAATGTGCCGGCGAGGGCTGCCGTTCAAACTCTGCCCTTCTCCAAATCTTCCCGTCCATTCTTATGCAAACTACCCGAGTCGAGTATCCACCATCTCTAACCCCCTACTAACTGTTTCCTGTTGTAGTCTGTTTTGCGGCAAAACGTCGGCACCCAACCGCGAAAGAAAACACCTCATAAAGGTAATCGTAAGGCATCGTCGCAGATCGTGGCTCGAGTTGACATGGGCCGAATTCGCCGATAGAAAGGAGATGTCTGTCTCGGCTTGTCGTGATTCCTGGGTAGTTCCAGTTGCGCCCTCAGGCTGTTGAACTCGTCCTCTATCCATCGCTCCAACTTTTCCTCTCCAAACGTCTCCACAGCATGAAAATTATGCACACAAATTAGAAAAAGGCCATCAAAGATCGTAAGCGGACGTGTCGTGCCGATCCGTCGATACTCTAGAGGTATTCACGAGAAACAAAAGCAAAAACATCCACGCCAGGTAACTGCTGGTCATGGGCTCTTCACTTGTAGAATCTGATGATGGCCTTTGCGCTGCCGGAAATGGCCGTCTGGGAATTGCGTGTTAGTCAAGGGACGATGTCCATGCGCCAAAGTAGGTAAACTTACAGTACAGCCAGTGCCACCTCCGGTGTAGGAGCCGCCAACAAGCGCACACTTGCTGTTAGCACCCGTGATTTCAATGTTGAAATCAAGCTGGGCAGTCGATGTTGGTGCGTTGTTGAAGATGGAGATGTAGGTGTTGCCATCGGTGCTCTTGCCAACACCAATGTTAACGGGAGCCCAGTTACCAGCTCCAAGAGGGTCCTTGGAGCTCTTCCAGACGCAGGCATCCTCGACACCGTAGCCGAGCTTGTTGACGTAGTACTGGGCGGTGGTAGGGCTGTCGTTCCAGACGTAGTAGTCGGCGGAGGCGGGGTTGGTGAGAGCCAATTGCTGGCCGGGCTGGGGAACAGTGGCGATGACCATGGACTCGGTACCGGGGTAGTCGGTACGGCAGACGCAGGAGATGTCGTCGAGGTCGTTCTGAATGAAAACGCCGCCGGCTCCCTGTTCGCAGAGGGTCTTCTTGGTAGGGCGGGATAGCTCGAGGTAGCCATCGGCGTTGCAGTAAAGTCCACCAATAGACTGCTTGGTCGAGCCCTGAGCGGTGGGCCATTGGGTCTTCTGGTAGCCAACGGGGCAAGAGTAGGAACAGAAGGAGTTCTTGGAGCAGCCGCCGTCAGAGGCAACGGCAGTCTCGATGAAAGAGATAGCGGCGTCACCGACGCTGTAGTTGGGGGTTCTCTGGATGCCAGTCCAGCCGTTGGTGCCGAGATAGCCGACGGCAACGGCGCCGTAGTCGGAGGGGAACTGGGAGCAAGGAATGGTGCCGCTGGGAAACTCGGCGGTCAGGCCCTTGCCTCCGGAGCTGCTGGAGCCTCCGCTTGAGGCCTTGGTGGAAGCGGGCGCCTGAGTAGAGGTGGAGGAAGGCGTCGGGGTCGGGGTGGGGGTAGGAGTCGGCGTCGGGGTAGGCGTCGGGGTGGACGAGGTGGAAGACTTCGCAACCTTGGCCTCGAAGAACTGGGCGTCCTTAGAAGTGGAAGCCACGGGGGCCTTGGAGGTCGAGGCCGACGGCAGAGGGGTCGAGGAGGGGGTGGTCTCGCCGACGACAACGAACAGGCCATCGGCGATGCCCTTCTTGGCCTCCTCTTCACTAATAGGCTTTCCTCCCAATTCGTAGGCGACCACAGTCGGGCCGGACTCGTACACGACGACAACGTCGCGCTGGTCGAGAGCGGTGTCCCTCTTGACGTGGCGGTGACGGTGGTTGTGGGGTTGAGCAACAACACCGGCGGCGAGGGATGCCGCAATGGCGAGGTTAATGATGGACCTCATATTGTCGATTGATGTTGATATTCTAGAGTACGTGTTAGCGCAACTTGAACCTCAATTGCGTTGGAGGGTACACAAAAGGCGCTTCATAGGGGGGCGGTGAGACGCTGTATCAGCAGACAATGAATGAGCTTGAAAATGGCAAAAACAACAACTACAACATCAACGATGCAGTTGCTGCTTTGTTCATCGCTTTCAATGCCGCGCGCAAGGTGGTGGTATTTCCTCTTGCGATACTGTGTTGCGCGTTTTGCCCCGAATCGCTTTCGTGTAGACCCCTAATTGGGAGGCGTTTTCCCCCGTCACAACCACTCACTCACCCTTTTCTCGCGAGTAGTGCAGTCAGAATCGAGAATCGTTTCGATGTATGGCGTGCCTTGTCGGTGTTGATAGTGATCGAAACGGAGAAAATCGTACTAGGTGATTACAGGATAACGAGTGTTGGCTGATTCGGATTCAAAAGAGTGTAAGTGAGAGCGAACTCTCTAGTTGGGAATCAACGCGGTGAACGAGAATGAAGAGCTCGATGACCAGGAGAAACTGAGAAGAGGGAGAAGGAGAGGGTGAAGTGGAGGAAAACAGGGTAAAGAGGCCATGTCGTGGATCCCTTGGGAAATTAGGAAGACCAGGCGCGGCAGGTACGCCAGGTACAAAGCCGTACAAGCCACCCGGGCCTCCAAGACCATACCCAGGGCCCCCCCAAGCCTATCCAAGACCACCCCCCAGGCACTATTATCAGAAACAAGACCAGACGATCCCGCCCGCGGGCTGCAGGTACAGACACACGCTTACGAGGGCACCCGCCGTACCTCGCAGCAAAGCGGTGCATCTGCCCCAGAAGGGGAAGGAAAGGGGGTTATCTGCCTGGATCGGACTAGCGGCAAATTAGAATTAGTGGTTCGTTGGATCCATTTATTTTTACGTTGACATTCACAAGCACCCAGACCGGGCCCTGACCTGTACCTGTACCTGGACCTGGACCTGGACCTGGACCTGGACCTGGGCCTTGACCTGCGCTCTCGCTTCGCGTTCAATTGCTGTTATTACTCCGTACACAGAAAGGCCAGGTACGGATACCGTACTTCCATTGGGTGCTTGGCTGATTGCTCCTTCCATCTTGAACTCGCTGCTTCTCACCTGCCCGCGGGATCCCATAGCTCCTTCCCAAGGATCCCAGCCACGAGCCCACGACCGACTTGAGTGGACTCTGGAGGAACACAGAGAGGGAGGACCACAAGGTGCTGCATGCGAAGCCTGGGGACACATGCACATGCGCATAGCGGACCCAGAAGGCGCAAATCCCCCTCTTTTTGGCATGTCTGCATTGTGTCGTACGAGGAAAGTGGAAGGCGCCTGCAGCCAACAGGCGTGGCCCCCTTCCTCCTTCTTGGGTTCCTTCCTGGCCAAAAGACCCAGAAAGCAGCTGGTAATGGTCGGAAATCCGGGTCCAAGGCATGGGAAGCATATTGCCTTCATTTGCCATTTTCATCATCCATGGGCCAACTTGTCCAAGAAGAACGGCACATCTTCATGGATGCACTTGTACTTTGTGCCTTCATCCTGGCGCAGCGCCCAAAAAACACACACCAAAAATCAACCCAGCTGTGGCACTCTCCCACGAGGCACTTTCAGGGACGTCCCGGTCACACTGCTTGACGCTCCCGCCGCGGCATCGACTTTCGTCTTCCACACAGCTGTCGTCCCATCATTTCTTTATCTGTATCATTCTTTTTCTGCTCGCCTCAGGCAAAACCAGTTCGTCCCATCGGGCGTCCATCCTATGCTTCTGGGCAGAAAATAAAAAGCAACGTCAGAAACCAAATTGACGACGGTACCTGTAGGAAACAACCGCAGCGCACATACGCAGTATACGACCCGACGGGATCTAATGCGAGACAAACCAACTGGCGAAACAAGCCATCACCGCCAACCATAGCCGTTGCGTGTCAAGCCACCGCCTTGTCCGCATTTTCCTCTCCCCCCCTTTTTCTTCCAGAGTCCGCCTCTGTATCCGTATTCTCGCTGCACAATTGGACGAATGGATCATATCATCCCCGGACAAAGGTGTTGTAGCGCTGCGGAAATATTCGTCGTCACCCCAGCTCCAACTCGACAAGCCCGGTCAGCCGAATGACGATCACCGCTGCCATTGCATGCGACAGTTGAACGGATTATTCCTACAAAGACACTACGCATACAATCCCAGTCAGAACCCTGTCCCCTGATACAACACAGCCAGCCTGTCGCCGTGTCAATTGACGGCTCGATTTTCCCTCTTGGTCTTTGTCGACGACTCTGGCCCTCACCCAGTCGAATCAGATTGCCTTGGCACAATTAAAGAACCATGCATAGGTAAACCAATCCCTGCTCCCACTAACCATGGGCTGGCTTTTGGCAGCTTTGCTCAATTTCGACACTGCGAGGCAATTAACCGTCTGTCAAGCGCCTTTCCCGAAAGTGTCGACGACGTTATTTCCACTCGCCAGCCTGGTCAATTGGTCTCATTTGTTTTTATCGATTCGTCGCTATCGTTATCGTCGCCCTTAGCTATCGTCGTCGTCACCTCTAAGTACCTTGTTATTAAAGAAAGTTAATTCTTTTTAAGTTATAAGTATAAGAATATAGTTTTAATAAAATAGTATAATACTTATTTAGTACTTAAATTAAAATACTTTTTTAAACTTATTATAAAATAATAATAATTATATTACTAACTACTTATTATTAAGGTTTATAAGTAGTATTATAGTTTTAATTATTATAGTTTTAATTATAATAGCTTTATTTATAATAAATAAAAAGTCTAATTATAAGTTTTTTAAAAACCTCTTATTAAGAATTATAAAAGCCTCTAAATTAAGTTAACATACTTATTAAAATATTAATAACTAAACTAATTTTATAATAATAACTTTAATAAAAAACCTAAAAAAAACGCTAAAATCTTTATTATTATTAAGTATAATTTACGAAGTATAATAACGTAATTATAAAGTATTATTAATATATTTTATATTAAAAAAGGTATTATTAATATTAATAAAATAAATAGGGCCGTATTAATATAGCACTTTAGCTTCTTTTTATAGCTCGAAAATAATTATTTTAAATAATATTAAAAATTTATTAAAAAGCTTTTTTAAATATTTTAATATATTTATTATTATTTTTATAATAATAAAATTCTTAATACTTATATATAAAAATAAGTTATTTATTTTTAAATAGTAATATTAGCTTATTAATAAGTTATTAAAACTACGATTTTAACGATTTTTTAATAAGGGAGAGGGTAAAATAGAAGAAAGGATAGGTAATTTATAAAAAGGGTTAAGGTTAAATAGTACGGAATTCGAGGGCAGGGTAGCGTCTATATATACTACGGTAATCCTTTAGTAATACAAAACGATAGAGTTAAACAGTGGTCGTCGTCACCTCACATCTCAATTCGCTGAAGTAGGAATGGGATAACGCCTGGCACCAGTAACTAGCCTTTTCCCATTGAACCATGGTCCTCCCCCCTATTGCTTGGGTCTTCTCCAGACCCCAAAAGCCAGTCTCCAACCATTCATTGTTGATTTCGGCTGTCCTTGGCACCGTGCTGCAGCCACCGTGCGCTACTACGATTGACATCAAGCGCTCATACGAGATTCGGCTGTAAGCGACGTTACACGGTTACTATTGACATCGCCGTAGAGATGGATCACGGGTGGCGGGTGACGGAGGTTATTGCAACCCCAGTTACCCCTATTGTCTATTGGATTTCTGGTACAGATACGCACTCAAGGAGTAGGAAGAGCTTTGAAGTCTGGAGTCCAGCAAGCGCCACTGGCCAAGGGTCGAGAACAGATTCGCGATGAACACTTCTTGCGCACGTACGGAGTACATGTCCATGTCATCTGAAATCTGGAGAATCCTTGACCGGCTGATGCATAGCTATCCTGAGCGGGAAAAGCCAACCTTTAGTTCAAGATGGCTCATGAGGAATATATCATCGGTCTACCAAAGGCTAATGTATACGAAGCTTCGCTACAGAATTCCGCCTGAAATGCGCGATGCAGTACTCCGTAGCTCAGTCAGCCCCCGCCACCAGTGCTACGTGGGCTTCTTTGTGAGGATTTGGCAAATCTCTCTAGCAACCAAATCTTATTTACAACCACGACGGCCAAAGTGCCAGATGCCATTTATCTTACAGGCTTCCGCTAGAACAAATGAATGGGGAATCGAGAAATTTCGGCTTCTCGTCGGGCTGTGGCTCATCTCCTCCCCAGGTATCCAAGAAGACCGTACCTAACTACTTTCTCAACAACAAAACTATGGGCCGAAAGATCAACGACAAAGAGCTAACTGGTCGCGATCCACGCCAATGGCTTCAATAGCGTTGCACATCGTCCATTATCCACCGGTCGCTAATTAGTAACGACGAACGCTCGTACTTGGCCCGACACTACCTCCAAATATCCGTCACCTGCAACTACTGCGGTTGCCAAGACGAAGGGACAACAAAAACATGGAGATCCAACCAAGCTTCGATCGTACCTACCTACCTAGGTACGGATACAGCGCGTGCTCGCTCAATCACGACCCTTCAAAGGCGTCATGCCTCTGGCCACTCACACCACCTACGAGGTATTCGTACTACGTACAGATATTCCTACAGGCCATGAACACTTACCTGCTGGGCCGTGCCATTTGCTTCGTCTCATTTCGGCCATGACGTCCACAAATCCACACCACAATTTCGGAAGTTACGATCGATCTGCGCTAGAGCGAAAAGCAATGGCTGCGCAGCCACCATCTTCCCACCTGAAACGTTGAAACATCGACAGCCTTCTGGGTCCAGGCCTGTACGATTTATCGGTCTTCACGAGAGGTGCAGGGAGAGGCCCTTCTCTCAAGGACCCAAACCCAAAGGCCTTTTACGAGGAGAGTCATGTCACGAGCCCTGCTGGCTGCTGCACGGAAGACCCTCCCCCTCATCGGCTCGAGAGTGCCGTGGGTTATACTTATTCGTACCTTACCCGGGGCTTGCGTAAGTGGTCGGCATCGACGATAATCTTGTTCGATTAATAGTCCCCCACTTCACGCCGGAATAGTACGATATACTCAAGTGAAAGTCACCCAATTGGTGGTCGAACTCGCGTCACTGGAAAATTACACCCACCAAACCTCGTACTGTGGAATTCGTGATTTTGAACATCACCGAGGCCCTCGTCCGCAACATCAAAGAAATCTGTCATGGCGCCTGCTTCCAGAACGAGAGATTCCTGGCGGGCGTACGTTCCATGCCAGCAGAACGACGCGACTTTGATCAAAACAACGCCAACTCACCCACGAGACTCATACGCCTGATTTGCACATGTGTTACAAAAACACGCTATCTGACGATGCATTCCAGACTTGACGTTGGTTTGGTTATCAATCCCACGGTTAAGTGCTGCTCTTAGCTCTGGCCCACGCCCTCACGGCTTCTAGAGCCTCACGGGACGGGACCGCCGTTGTTTTGACCAGAGACATTGGTCAGAAACAGGGGGGACGATTGATTGTCAGGCACAGGAATGGCTAATGGCGGCACTTGAATTAATCAACTTATCTTTTCGTTGAAGTTATACCTCTTGATTGACGGGAGCTGTCGAGGCACGGCACCATCAATCGCATATCGCTGTCGTCTCGTTTCTTCCTGATGCAAGCTTTTGCGCCCCTTCCGTCTGGCAAGCTCGACTGCGATCCAGGCGCAACACGACTCGTGTTGCATAGCAAACACGACGTGGGCATAGCGTAGATGGTCGGTCGGTCACCAAAGCGTCCCGAACAGGCTACTTTTCTTGTCTCACTATTTGACCACCAGCTGGGCCATTGTTGACAAATTTTGTTATGGAGGGGCGAGCATTCCAGCGACTACCGGCAACACTTGGTCGGCGGCGGCAGCAAGCCGGCGTTGGATGTTGATTGTGCAGAAATGGCTACCGCCATGGCGCAACCGTTAAGCCCAGCGCAAGTGCGTACCGTGTCGACGGGATTGTTTGAACAAGAACCCATGCCTGGTCGTATGCAACCTCTTCCACTCTTAGGATGCTCAAGAAGAGGGGTTAGGCTCTACACTTCTTTTGATTATCACGATCCAGGGCGGGGGAGGGAAGCGGTTGTCTCTTTTCCCCTCTCCCTTTCCCACCCCTTCACAGCTGATGGATATCCCTTGGGTATCCGTTTGTATCTTCCTTTTTTTCTAATAGTGTCTCTGCGGTATGCTTGGCGAGAAGGCTTTGCGCGCTGTTTTCAAGATGGTCAAAGAGCAACAAAACTCTGCATCCCTCCCTCTCTCGACTTGGAGCTTACAAGTTCCCCTTCACTTACATTCGCAGCGAGGCACACGGCTCTTTCTGTGCCTTTCGCTTGGCTCGATTCGGCTTCTTGGCATGAATTATCATCACCTCTCATCTCATGAGTAACCTACATACCTGCATATATCTGAGCCAAAGAGGGAAGCGGCAATGTGTGTGTCCACCCAGGTTGTCTTCCGTGTCACGTTGAAACCCCATCGTGAGTCGAGTATCCCTTGCATGTAGGCCCTTGCAAGTTGCAACGACTTGTCGCATAGCAGGTGATGCTACAGTCTGAGGAGGGATCGAGATTGATTATTGTCGTTTGTCTGGGACAGAGCAAGTTGAGCACCGTGACCAGAAACGGCAACCAAGGGTGAAATGAAATAGAATTCAAAGATTCGATGGCCCTGATGTCTAAAAGGCATTGAAATTCCGATATTCTGTCTCCTCAAGGAAGACCTAGAGCCTCGAGGCTAGACTTTCTGCAACGACCGCTATAATACATGAGAGGGAAAAGCCGATATCAGGATCCTCAGTGTGAAAAACTACCAGAATGAAGAAGGAAAAATCCGTCGCGGAAAATCCTGGGACATGGCCATAGACTGGTCCCATGGTCCAACGACGGACCAACTCAAAACTTTTTTTCATATCGAGGTCCACCGTGCACATCTACCAGTGCCCTGAATAAAACGCCTTCCCCCGGGACGAAACGGGTCGTCCTGCTAACTGATGGGTCAGAGAGGCAGAAAC